GCCACTTCCAGCTTTTTTCTTTTTGCTTATGTGGTGCTGAGGAATCGAACCCAGGCCCTCAGGCATGCAAGGCAAGCGCTCTACCACTGAGCCACCTTCCCAGCCTGTACATCACCTTTATAACAACAAAAAAAAAAATAAATAAATCACAGAGCCAGCCAAACTGAATGCCTGTTGGGCTTCATTTACAAGCTGATGGATTCAACAGCTCTAAAAAATTATATTTACTGAGGGGGGAGGGGAAAGTGAAAGAAAAAGTAACCACTGGGAACTGGACTTCCTAGGAAATACTGTTAACAACTCCCAGACTCGTGTGGCTCCAAGTATGCCAGACTTAGAGCTCCGTTTCCAGACCACATGTAACTTTTAATTTATTAAATAACATACGACACCGAAGTTTCATACTTTGAAATGCCTTTAAATTGTAAATTGTTAATAAAGAAAAGGGGAAGGAAAGGAATGAAAGAGAAAACAACTTTGCTTTGAAAAAAAAATTGATTTGCACTCAGGGACAGACAATGAGCGATTGTTTCCACTTGGGCTTCTGGACATTCCAGTGCCAGACAGGGATTCACAGTTTGGTTGAAAATTAAACAGTCCTTTAAGGTGGCTCTTTGTGGGCTTGAGCAGACACAGGAAAGTTTGCTATTTTGAAAGATTATCATCAAGCTGGGAGCTGGTGCCTCATGCCTAATCCTAGCTACAAAAGAAGCTGAATTTTGAGGATTCTGGTTTGAAGCCAGCCTGTGCGGAAAAGTACGTGACACTCTTATCTCCAATTAACTAGCAAAAACCTAAAGCGGAGCTGTGACTCAAATGTTAGAGAGCAAGCCTGGAGTAGAAAAAAAGCAAAGGGACAGTGCCCAAGCCCTGAATTGAAGCCACAATACCTGCAAAAAATAGAAGAAATTTTAACAGATGTATATGCTTGCATCTTACTTTTATTTTTTGTAACTTAAAGCAAATGGCTTAGAAATCCTACTAATATTATTACTGGGGCTGAGTGGCATCTTGGGACACAGTGTCCATCCCCGAGGCTGTGGCTCTTAGGCCAACAGAGGAAACGTGTAATATAAAGGGATGAAGGCATGAAAAGCCTCTCTGGCTCAGAGCAGCTGCCCACCAGGCCGGCTGGCTGGCTTGGAACCTTCTCAGTAAAGCCCTGTGCCTTTAACTGTGCACAGCACGTGTAGCACGTACTGGGAGCAACATCTGGGCCGCAGCCACTGCGGGTTAAAGAGACAGGCTGCTAGGATGAAGCTTGGAACACGTTCAAGTTCCAGCAAACAGGAAATAGGCACCAAAGGATGGAGGGTGGGCAAATCCTTTCTCTGCCAGTGGCCTGCAGAATTAATTCTCCCCTACTTTACCACTTGCCCAAGCACTGATCTTTCTTTTATTTTTATTTTTTATTTTTTTTATTGGGAAAATACTGTACAGAGGGGTTACAATTACATGAGCAAGATAATGAGTATATTTCTTATCAAGCATTGTAACCTCATCCCTTGTTTCCCCTTCAAGGATCTTTCTTTCTTTCTTTCTTTCTTTCTTTCTTTCTTTTTTTTTTTTTTTGGTCCAGTCGTGGGGTCTGAACTCTGGGCCTGGGTTCTGTCCTTCAGCTCTTCAGCTCAAGGCTAGCGCTCTACCACTTGAGCCACAGCACCACGTCTGGCATTTTTTTTCTGCTTATGTGGTGCTGAGGAATCGAACCCAGGGCAAGCGCTCTACCACTGAGCCACAGCACCACGTCTGGCATTTTTTTTTTCTGCTTATGTGGTGCTGAGGAATCGAACCCAGGGCAAGAGCTCTACCACTGAGCCACCTTCCCAACCCATCCCAGAGACTCTTATCTTCAGTTATCCACCAAAAAGCTGGTAATGGAGATGTGGCTCAAATAGTGGAACACTACCAACCTTCAGTCGGAACAGCTAAGTGACAGTATAAAAGCCCTGAGATCAAGCCCCACTATCAGAAACACACACAAGAAAGATGCTGTCCCACATCAGGCTGACTGCTTCCCTTTTCTGAACCCCAATCTCCTTATTTCGCAAGTGAGGGCCATACTGCCTACCACACAGGGCTGTGAACCCGGAGTAAGATAGAGATTTAAAAGTGGTTCCTTTCTCTAGCTGGTTCTTTTTCTGCTCATCCCTGCCTTTCTCTTCAAGGAGTTGAACCCTCAGCTCATATCCTCCTCATTGAAAAACATCCGGTGGATTTTGGCATCAAGTATTGTCACCAGCTGCACAAGTCCCAAAGGGGCTCCCAGCTGGGAGTCAGAGGCTGATGTGTGTCTCTTCCTCTTCCTTTCCCTTGCTGTTGGATCCCGAGCTGCTTGCTGGGTCTCTCTGGGCATGGCTTCTACCACCTATAGAGCGAGCAAATCTCATAAAGAAAAGGACCCCAAGATTCCCAGAGATGGCACTGCTTCTAAAACTAGCTGGTTCTGTGTCGTTGTTCAACTAGAGAACACTGTGAAAAATTAAGAAAAGATTACCCAGAAAGATCACCTATACCACACAAATTATGCGTATGGACGGGTAGCATAGGGATGTACTACCTAGCTTTCCTATGCATGTGCAATGCTTTGGAAATCCCGGCGTTTCTAGCCCTGTCTCCAGTGCACACTTCACATGGGAGGAATCTACTTCGAGCCCAGTGCCAGCGGCGCACCCTGGGATCCTACTTACTTGGGAGGCTGAGGTCTGAGACTCGCGGTTCCAAAACAGGAAAGAAAGCACGCGAGACTCTGATCTCCCATGAAACACTGGAGTGGGGCTATGGTTCAAGTGGTGGAGCGCCAGCCCGGAGCGAGGACGCCCAGGGACAGCGCCCAGGCCCTGAGTTCAAGCCCCAGGACACGTACGAAAGAGAAAAAAGAAAAGAAGATGAAAGAGAGAAAGAAAAAAGGAAGAGGGAGCCGTGGCGGGCCGGCCGGGGCGGGACGCCGGCGCCGCCCTCCTGGGGAGGCGGCCGCAGGAAAACCCAGC